AGTGGTTACACTTGGCCATTTTCTAGAGTGACAGTAACAGCGAGTCAGTGTGTAATGTTTAAGTTTTATCATTTTCAAGTTTTGTGTGTAATCTTTAACCTTTATCATTATCAAGTGTTGTGTGTAATCTCTGCGTTGTACCATTTGAACTATTATGTGTGTAAACCCAACTTAGGCCAATCATTTTTTACCCAAAAAAATTCGGTCTCGGAATTTGAAAAAATTCTATTGAATTTTTATTATTTAAAAAATAATGACAAACTATGCAAAAATTAATATAAACAAATTATATTAAGATAATAATAAGTACATTTTTAAGTTAACAAAAACTAAAAGAAATGAAGATCTCCAAATTTGAGGATTATAGCATTGGAGCCAAAATGAAAAATCCGGAATTTGGGGGTGGAGGTCCAAAATTTGGTTACTTGAAGTTGGCCTTACAAATGTGCTTAGGATAGGGTCAGTAACCATTGGTTACTGACCTATGAGTTACTAAATCTAAACGTTTAGATTTAATTGGATCTAGAAAATTCAGATCTAAGGTTTGTCAATTAAAGACATTTTATTTTCTCTAGTTTTCATACTCGGCTCTTATCTTCTTTGTTCTAACTTGGATTTCAAATTTTTTTTTTTGCACAGATGGAATGAGCTCATTGTGCTCTACAAAATGAGATCAATTTTCAATATATTTCAATAATTTTTTGGGCTAATACCACTACAACACCCAAACTATCCGGAAAATGTCACTTGTGTCCTATTGTTTCCAATATTCCATTTGTGTCCTGAACTATTTTTCCGTTAGTATTGACCGGTTTTGACTGTTAATATTTAACGGAAAATCCAGTCAGCATCTGACATGGAATTTTTTTAATACGAATTTTTTTTTTCAAAAAAGGTAACTAAATAAAATAAAAAGAAAATACCCACACCCACCCACCCATCTCTGTGTCGTGACTTGCATCCCCTCCTCCCAAAAATGAATTCCGGCCAAAATATACCTCCTCTCCTCCTCGTTGCCACCGCCGCCACAGTAGGGTTTGTAGAGCCTCTTCCCCGAATTCTCCAATACACGCACGGATCTATCGCCCAACACCGCCGCCGCTCTAGAGTCCCAACTCCATACATCAAAATCCGGAGTCAGCGCCCACCATGGAGGATTTTCTTGTCTAAAATCTGTTCACCCCCATTCACAATGATCCACCGGCGCCACGGTTGCGGAAACAGAACCGACAAGATTGACGTCGTTCTTCCTCCGCCGCAAAGCGCAGAACCCAGATCCGTTGGATTGGCGAACAGACGGGCTCTCTACACCGTCGTTCTTCCTCCGCCGCAGAGCGTAGCACGTCCAGATCCGTCGATTGACCACTTTTGAATCTTGATGATTCTGCCCCTCCGATTCCTTCTGTTATCTATGCATCAATCGATCTGTTTCTCTTTTCCTCTATGTGCCCCAGAAATTCGAGGGGATTCCTCTTGATTCTTTTCATTATCAATCTTCGGTCTCGATGGTGGCCTTGCAGGCGATCTGCTGAGAATGATGGGAAGCAAATCGACTTCAAATTTGGAGTCGGCGGGCAAAGAACAAAGTCCATCTAACGAAGAAACCGGAGATTGTCCCTGAAGCACGACTGCGACATAGTCAGATCTGCCATTGAAGTGGAGCTGAGAGACCCTGAATCTCGCCATTGATGGGATCTGGGAAATCAGAATCGTCTTCATTGCCGGGTCAGATTGGGGGAAGAAGGAGATGATGCGGCGACCTGGAAATCGGAATCGTCTTCGAGATTTTTTAGAGAAAGAGAGGTCGAATCGGTAGGGAAGAAGAATAATGGGATTTTTAATTATTTTGTTTTAAAATTTTGGCTTAATAATATAATTGAATTTATAGTTTTTTTTAATTTTAACACAATTTTTTATTTAATTTGAATTTAAAAAATATGAGATCAGTGACGTGGCATCTATGTGGCAGCCACAATTTTTGCCACATCAACAAAAGTCAACTTTACGTTGACCACCGTTTGGTCAACCGTTATCTTTAACGGTCAACGAAATTGACAGGATACAAATGACACAAAGTACCATAGTTCAGGACATGAATGGAATATTGAAAACAATAGGACACAAGTGGCATTTTCCGGATAGTTCGGGTGTTGTAGTGGTATTAGCCCTAATTTTTTTTACCAACTACATACCATTTGGTAACTTCTTCGTTTTTAAGTCGTTTTTGAAAACCTTTCCTCAGAAAGAATGAGTTCATCATGATCAATTGGATCTAAAAAATTCTGGGTGAAAAAAGTACTGGACAAAAAATTACCATACTTTACCACTATGGTATGTGGGTGGTAACTTGTAGTAAACAATGGTGAAAGTCGTAAATGACAGTTAATATACTCCTACTATCATGTATTCAACCTTCTTACCATATTGGTATGTTCATACCATCATGATACGCTTTCTTACCATATAGTATTAAATAGAAGCATACCATATGGTAATGACTGACAAAAAATTATTCAATTTTTTTTTACTAAAATTATATAAAGTGTATATCATTTTAAAGAGCACAAAGATGTCTTGCGAATTACAAAATCTAAATAGAGGACATAAGATGCTTTTTGGTGTTTCAGTTTTGTTCAACATAAAAAGAACATATATAAATCCGAAATTTTCAAGGAAAAGGACAAAAAACATAACACGTAATGGATCCAAAAGGGCGCGTTTTGTTCTTGTACAAGCTTTTCTTAATTAATATTTATTATAATTGAGAGTATTAGCTAGGTTTTTTCTAAGATGTTATAGATATTTAAATTTTTTTGGTGAAAATAGTCCATTAGTTGGAAAGTTCAAACCGAATTAGTGTTTTCATTCTATTTTTTTTATTGTTTTTTAAGTTGACCGTTCAAGTTAACTGTGAATCCACGAGTCGAGTCAAATTGGTCTAACTATTTTAAATTTTAGACATGATAGAGATTTAAGAAAATTCGGGCAAAAACAATCAATTAGCATAAAATTTATGCCAAATTAAAGTATTAAAACGTTATCATTCAAAGTCAAGATTCAAGGTAGACAAAGAGACTCGAGAGATGGATATGTGGTACGAAGTCACAAATGAGTATGGTGGGAATGGCTAAGGGGTGATTAGCGAGCAACGATAAGAGGTTGGAGACAGAAATTTACGTCAACTCATTTCAATTATTTTCTATTAAAATAGCCGTTATTATTTTGGAGAACTATACATTTTGTATGATTGCAAATTGATATAATTTGAAGTCAATTATAATTTGAAAAGAAATTTTTGTTTTCGTAGTTGGTTTTATAGAAAATAAGATAATGAAAATATTAAATGTAGGATAAAATGACCACATTAGACAAATAACTCATTTAAAAACGTATAATCTGAATTTTTTTAAACAAATAATATATTTGAAAATGCCTACAATATTTACATGATAAAAAATATCTATGTATCTCAAATGATCATGTTTGTACAAATCACTCATTTTAAATCCACAAGCAAACCATAAATCTTCTTAAAAAATTGATGAATATAGGGTTAGAGGAGGATTAGAATGTGATTCTCTAACAATTTAAACCACAAAATACTAAAAAGTAAAAACAAATGTTTTCCCATAAATTAGCTACTTGCACATCTAAAATTAGGACGAGAAAACTTGTTTCTTAAAGTTAACAAATTTTCTTTTCTTTCTTGTGTAGAAAAACTAGTTTTCTTCTAGTTGACAACTTGGGATCAAATTCCTTCTCTTGTCTTGTCTCTCTCTCTCCTCAGTTTCTTTGTTTGTCTCTCTCTAGCAAAAAGGAGCCAACTTTTTCTCATCAAATCAGATTCAAATTTCGCCGAGAAGAGACGAAATCACGAACCAACAGTTGCTTGCAATAATTAAATTAATAAACAATCAAATTAAGATTTCTGACGACTTTCAGGCGCATGCTTGAGAGAGAGACGAACAGAGAAACAGAGGGAGAGAGAGATCGAGAGAAACGGAATCACAGCACCTTTACCTTCGTTTCGTTGTCGTAGTAGCTTGTATCTGTTGATTTGCATTGAAGGCGGTTCATTGTTCTCTTTCTCGTTTGTGAGAAATCCGAGCATCTTGAGGATTTGATAGAGAGACACGGCGACCCTCCTCTGTCCCCTGTCCCTTTCTTCTTCTTCTTCCCACCTCGCTCTTTAATGCGAGTCTCTCTATTTATTCCGATCCCCATTTGCCCTCAAAATCAAACTCCATAACGAAATACCAGTTCATTTCTTATGCAATTTTGAGCTGCACGAGCCTTTTCCAAGGGAAAGTTTTCATCTTTCCCCCCTGATTTTTAATGGGTATGATCAAGGCTGCTTTGTTCTCGAATTTTTTTTTTTTGATTGGTTGTTTTCATTATAACGTGGCATGGTTCAATTCCTCCCTTTGATATGAAACAATTTCTTCTTGCCTTTGAATTTGTCTTGTTTTGATGCTTGCTGAGTATGGATCATGTGAACTATCATCATCAAGTTTGCCTTTCCTGCCTTTTGAGTTTTGGGGTTTTTGCTCAAACTCTTCCTGTATATATATATTTTTTCCAGAACCCAGTTTTGATTGTTTGTGCCTGATATGTAGATGGACGTTGAAGAAGAAGAAGACCATAAAGAAAGTGCATGACTTTTGACCTTTATGATGATCCTCCCTCAGCTTGATACTTCAACTAAGGGATCGAATTCGGCATGGGGGATAGAGATAGGAAGGATATAAGGCCCCTTTTGCTGAGATTTGGTGTAGTTGTATCGGTTTCCTTTGCTGGATTCCTAGCCTCTCGCGTGGCAGCCAACAGAATCCATATGGCCAAGCAGCAGCAGCAGCAGCCTCCTCGTTCCCCGAGATCTCCAGGTTCGCATCGATCATTTCGTATTGCCAATGGATTGGTTTTGTTTTGATTTGGTGCTGTTTGTGTAATTTCTATATACTAAAATGATCAAGATGTTTTTTCTTAAATATTGGTGGCTTAGATCATGAGAGTAGTAGTAAAGCTGATGTTGGAGCAAGCAAGGCCTTTTGCGATGATGACATTCCTTCTGTGAAAAGAAGTCCTGGTTCTGGTTGCATGGGATTGGATGGACAAGTAAGTTTTGATCATAAGCAGATTGGAAGATGGCCAGTTGTTTTCGAATTTAATGCGTAACCTGTTTGTTTATCTGGTGTTCTATGGCAGAATGTTGTTTGCAGGGTGAAGGCTGCCGGTGAAACTTCCACGGGCAACTTTTCACCAAGCTGCAAGCTGAGTGGAGATAAAGATGGCTACCTATTGCCAGAATTCAATGATCTAATAAACGATTTCGGTGTTCCTAAGCAACTTAGAAGTGTTGAGGAGGATGAGAAAGAGATTAGGCATTTAAAGAACAAGGTGAAAACGTTGGAGGAGAGGGAGAGGAAGCTCGAGGCCCAATTGGTAGAGTTGTATGGCCTCAAAGAGCATGAAACTGCTGTCACTGAGCTGCAGAACCGAGTCAAGATAAACAACATGGAGACCAAGCTTCTCACCCTCAAGATGGAGTCTTTACAAGCCGAAAACCAGAAGCTTGTGGCTCAAGCTTCGGAACATACAAAAATTGCTTCTGAGCTGGATGCTGCGAGGGCCAAGATCAAGTTGCTGAAAAAGAAGTTGAGGTCTGAAACTGAACAGAACAAGGAACAGATCTTAGCACTTAAGAAGAAGGTTTCCAAGCTGCAAGAACAAGAAATCGGTGCTGCTTCCAGTGATTCAGAGCAGCGGCTGAAGGATTTGGAGGTACAGACAGAAGAGTTGACGAAGTCTAACATGAAACTGAAGCAAGAGAACTCAGATTTGGCTCATCGATTGGAAGCCACTCAAGTGCTTGCAAATTCTGTTCTTGAAGATCCAGCGGTACTTACTTGTTTGGCTGTTGTTTTACCTTGTTTCAATTAACATAAATTGTCACTGGACTTTACTGCTACTAACAAATTTGGTTGATTTCTAACAAAGTTGTCTCGGCTGTCTGGAAATTCTTAATCAACATAGTTAAGGGACTCGTCAGAGTGTCAATTCGCCCAAAATTATAACTAAAGCAGGCCTTAGATGCCCTCTAATTAGCCATATAGTAGGGAGGGATGAAAAGGTTAAGAGTTATTTTTTGGACTTGTGGGTTAGAACTGGATCAAGTAACAGGTTTGGTTTAGGAATACGAGTTAAAATGGATTGTCTAGGTCAGCTAATTAGGATCTATGTTTTTCTATAGTTTATTTGGTTGAGTCAGCATGCTAATCTGGACAATCAAGAAAAAAAAACTGACAGAGATGTATCAACTTGTCAATGATCCGAAAGTTGAGTGGCCATTCACCAAACTGACCTTTTTTGTTTGACTGCTGCTCTTTCTTTGTATGAAACTGGGCATCTTTTGTGTCTATATAGATGGAGGAGCTGAGGCAATTGAGCAACCGGCTAAGCGAGGAGAACATTCATCTGAAAAAAGAGGTGGAGCGACTCAAAGCCGATCGATGCTCAGACGTCGAAGAGCTTGTCTATCTCAGGTGGATCAATGCCTGCTTGAGGTATGAGCTGCGGAATTTTCAGGCGCCGAATGGGAAAACAGCTGCACGAGACCTGAGCAAATCACTGAGCCCCGAGTCCGAGGAGAAAGCAAAAAAGCTGATACTTCAGTATGCGAATCCTGAAGGAATGGGGGAGAAAGGAATGAGAATGGTAGATTTCGAGACAGATCAATGGATTTCCTCCCAAGCATCATACATCACAGATTCCACACACTTTGATGACACTTCCTCAGTATCAACAAAGGCCACCAGCATCAGCAACCATAGCCCCAGAAAGCTCAAGATCTTCAAGAAGCTCAGGAGGTTAATACGTGGGAAAGATGCTCACAGCAAAGATGAGCACAGGATGGAAGATTCTGATTATCCTAGCAGTGTGTCAACTGGGACTGATGCAGGAAGTGACACACAGTCCAATAGAGGTCTGACACCATTGATTTCATATCGGTACTCTACTGATAGTCAAAGAATGAGCATTCCTGGGTTGTATGATGCTAAGGATGTGGAGAGTCTTCGTGCAACGAGCGATCTGGGGTCCACCGATTTGCTCAGGAGGTTTTCATCAGGCCCAGAAACAAGTAGAGACTTTTTACCTGAGAATGATGACCTGGGGAAATCTGACTTGGTTAGGTTTGCTGGAGTATTGAAAGATTCCAATGGTAATAATGTAACGGAGCTACAACATAGAAAAGGGAAAAGCAGTATCTTTTAGCTGATACATATCTAAAGAATAATCTCTGTTCTAAATGCATTACCTAGATGCATGCTGTATACAGTATACTACTTGTTTTGTAGTTGTGAAATGAAACGGGGAAGTGAAAAAGTTGTGAGCTATGACTACTGAGTTCTTTCTCTGCATACTTCAATTCTCTTAAAGCTCCATCAAGAGTGGTATATATATATATACACTGTGGAACAAGGGTTATACTCACAACCCACTTGGAACTCAACAACTAATCTTAATATTAATCCTCGGCATCTAAATCAATGGGGCAAGTTCCATCATCTACATTGGCTAGAGGATTGTAAAGATGTGAACTAGGATCCATGCACCCTTCAACTAGATCAAGATTGCATCGATCACCCTGCAAATTTCACAGCACAATGTAACAGAATTAGCAGCCTGTCTTTTTCATTTTGACACTTGAGCATCAAGAAAGGGTTTACAAGGACTTGGAAATGAATGCTTTTCACTTACTCCTTCGATCGACAAGTTACCAATCATTGCGCATCTCGTGGAAACAACCTCAGTGTCCGGGAATATTGCTCTTTCACATGCACCTTCTTGACTTAACTCTTGTGCTAGACCCTGTCATGAAAAAGTTATAGATTCAACAAATACCAAAATTTTCATCCTTGATTTGTACAAAAAAAAAAAAACAAGTAAAAAAGCTGTGGATTCTTCTTCGTTCTGGTTACCTCGTTGAAGAACTCGATTTGTTTGTTTCGCCAAGCCTTTGGAACTTGGAATTGCAGTCTGTAAGGGCCATCCCAGTCAACTCCATTTGTGAATGAGAATATCAAGTTCACAGCTGCAGTTAGCACTGAGAGTGAGCCAGTGGATGTACAAGAAAGATAAAGGCAAGAGATCAACAAAATTAGGTAGGGTTTGACCAACCATGCTTAGGAACACATATTTGGATGGAATATAATGGGGCATCAGCTTTTCCTCTAACTTTCTCAAGCATTGCCCTTGGCTCTCCACCACACATGATAGGTTGGTTAAACCCACCTGGAAAATGGTGCATTTCAGAAAACTTTCAACAGCATCAACACATTAAGCATCCTAGTTTGTGTGAAACAAAAAAGAAGAAAAGAAAATCACCATTGAAAGCAATCCCAAATTCTTCACTTGGAGTGAGTTTCTTAGCTGCCGGATTGTAGAAAAGCTTCAGCATCTCTCCCTGAACGAGAACACAAGTACAGCATTAGGAGCTGACCATCAAAAGGAACGTGTGAATGCAGCAAAAGGTTTATCATTTGTTAACTTCCACACTCACAGAAGATGGAGGAAGACCATTCATGGTTTTCCAATAAACCGGTGCTCTTCCCATCTCAAACATTGCCCATGTAGGAAGTGCATATCTGAACCCAAGGTATAACAGTAGACATTAACTATGGGATATTGATGTAGTTATGCTGCAATTAATTGAAAAGTTAGTGATTAAACCACTATCAATCATCATGGAAGTAACAAAAGAATGATTCATACTCTTTAACTTCCTGAGCCACTGGTGTCGTGGCAATAGTGGCTGCTGATGCAGTGACTTTCCCTGAAGTTCTCAATGTTGTGCTCTTATTTGGGGAACTCCATGGTACTGAAGCACCAATGAAGCCACTGACTGCGTCATAACCACATAATTAATTCAGCCATGCTGAAAGCCTATGAATCAGATCCAGATCGAAACTAACACAAAAACCCAGTTAAGCGCGCAGTTGAAGGATCAGGAATAAGAAGCATCAATCTCTAGGGTGTTAGAAATGGGCATGTTTTTGCACAACCCATTTCAATTTAGTGTTAAATAGTATGAAAAAGAAAGAACCTTTGCTGCACAAAGAACCAATTCAACTTAATAATTCAAAATCATTTTTCCCAGGCTTACCAAGAGTGTTTGAGATGGATGGATTGAGCTTCCTGGAGGTAAAAGATTGAGGTGGAGAAGTAAGAATAGTGGCCATTCTTCCTGGATTAGGCTTAACTCAGGGACTGCACCAAAATGTGGAATTGTTCTGCTAGAGATGAATAACTAAAGCGAAGACTGCAGAAGAAGTATATAAGAGATGGACAACAGGAATGGGAAGCAACCTCAGTCACAAAAAACTCAACCAAAAAATTATCTTCTTAATTTCTTCATTTTAGCCATATCCAGTTGGGAATAAGACAAACAGAAAAAATATCTCTGGTGCCTTGCGACAATGTAGACATGTTTTTTTCCTTCTTTCTTCTTTGAAAGAGTATCGTTCGGTCCTGTAAATATCTGCAAACCCCTCTTCGGAAGGAGACTTTCAACCCACTAAGCTTCTCATTATAAAGTTTGAAAGCATGGCAGCAAATTAGATGGCCTAAATGGTGAGAGGACATGATAAACTAAGCTGCTGTTGCAGGCACGAATCTTGAGCACTCGAATTGACGTAACAAGATAGAAGTTTAGATTGGTTGAGAGGAAAATTGGACATAATTAGATAATTTTGAATTGGGGATTGGAGTTCTTAGAAGGGCTCGAAGAGAAAGATGGAAAATTCTGAGTTTCTGATGATACTTGATAGGTTTTTCATTGATTTTCCTAATGACAGAACTAAAGCACATTATATAGACTTTGACTCGAAATCTTAATCCGCTAATCCCCTAATCGCACCCTCAACAGCTGCTAGAAATCAAACTAGACAAACGAGGAAAGGGAGAAAGGAAGGTTACTTGGTATTGAAATTGCTTATGGTAAAAAGTATACAACATTTGAACTGTTACAATGAAACGGAAGCTTACAACTGTTGCAGACAAAACATAAGAATGCAAATGTAGCAGTAGCCAACAACACTCTTCTTAAACAGTAAACACATTACTTTGTTTCCAATATGCCACAAAACAAGAACAAGAACAAGAAGGAAACAAAGCAATTATAATGAACAAATACGAATATCATCCATTGATTCATCCTAAGAGGGAGATCCCATCAACGATGAGAGCATCAGCCAGGACTTGATTAGCAGCCTGCGAAGGATGGACACTGTCCCAGAAAACATACTGAGTCGCATTCGGACACGTCCCCACCGACTTCGGGTTGCACAAAAGCACCGTCGTCTCAATCGTCCCTGTTCCGCAGCACCCCCTTCTCGCTTCAGTAAAACCTGCATGTTAATCAGTTCCCAACAGGGATATTAGAAACTGACCCAGTTCACAAAATTTCACCACGGACAAAGGGTAAGTTTCTGTTTCCCATTTGGTTACCGAAATCAGAAGGCTTTTTCACGAGGTCGTAGAGTGGTTTGAAGATGTCGAAAACGACGATCTTCATCCCTGGCAGCTGCTTCTGCAGATTCGCCACCGCCGAGCCGATCTTCTTGTTGAATTGCTGAGCTTCCGTGTTGAATTGCGAGACGCAGCCGCTCTCATGGTACCCAAATATGGTTCTGGCTGCTGGCAGGCACCCCAGTGGCGGGAGTGACGTCAGCCCTAGCCTTCTCCCTCCCAGGCCATACAATCCCTGCGTCGTGTTAGAACGAAATTAGACAAGGTAGGAGTGGTAAAATTCATAACAATCAAGGAAAGGAAAGGAAATTTAATTACCTTGACAAAAGTGTTGAATGAGCTGACAAGGTAAGAACCATATTGGTCAGCAGTGTAGACTTTGTTGAGCAGAGGGTTGACGTAGTAGTTCTGCAGGAAATCACTACTGCCTGCACTCAGTACGTACAGTGAGTCCTTGATGATTGTAGCTGACTTGTTGGCTCCTGCAACTTTGGCTAGCTTGCCTTTGTACTCCTTGAACAGCTCCAGCTGCTGAGACAGAGTAATTGCATGCTGCAACCCACCACAGAGAAAAGAGAAACCACAAACTTACATTGAGCAGAAATGCAGTAAAAAGAGTAATTTGATGGTCTCTGTGTGATCCAGAATTTACATTAAGAGCAGCAGCTTTGTCATCAAAACCAGAACCAGCAGAGGCGAAGTTGGCTCCAATTAGAAGGTTGTTCCCCATTGCATCAGGGCTCAGATATGCTGGTGGGTAAGTCTTGAATCCCAGAGTGTCAGCTGTCAATTTTAGGATGAGATTAAGACAATGAATTATCAAATTGAGGGGTCTAAAACTGGCAACAGTGTACATGAATATCTAGTAAAGGAGATGCATATATTTACCAGTGATATCAGTGGCCAATTTGCCATTGCAGAACCTGCCAGTAGGCTGGTGGTTGACGAAGTCTCTGCCATAAGGAGGGTAATTTGCCTTGAAGATTGTGGGGAGGTAGTCATTGTTGCCGACATCAACGGCTGAGTCCCCAAATGTCATGATCCCGGGAACAAGTTTATCATCCTGTGCATGTGAAAGAAGCAATGCTGAAGCTGCAATAAGAAGAAGAAGTAGAGACATGGTTGTGAAAGAGGTTCCCATTGTCTCTATTCCCACCCTCTGGTTCTGTTCTGATTTGTGGGGAGGAAGGTAAGGTAAGTAAGGATTGTTGTAGTGAGAAGAAGGTGTAGGGAGTTAGTTGCCTTGGAGTACAACTTATAAAGAGGGCATGACGGTGACTCAAAATAGAGTATGAAAGAGGAAATATGAGGTCAATTACATATACGGTCACTAAACGGTGGGGTGACTGATAGGTTGCTCACTGAACTTTCATCTTTTGTTTTTGTAACACTGAACTAGTGAACTTTGATCTTTTTGTAACACTAAATGGCGGGCTTCGGCAAGATGAGTTCCCTAACAGTTGCTTGCTGAACGTGTTGGTGTGGTCTTAGGTAATTTGATGTGATTGAGTTGGAATTAAGTTGAGTGATCACTTTCGTTTGGATTGTTTGATCTCGATTCTAGAGCATCAATTTTAGATGAGTTCCAATTAGCTAATTTGGATGAATAAAATACACAATGGAAGCATACAAATAAACTTGATCGGTTTACAGTTATTCGAAATGAAAACGAAAGATTTGTTAAAATTCAAAGTAGAGTGACCAAAGTGTTAAAAACCCCAAATATGGTGGGCGATCGTGGAATTGGCCTGCGGAAAACAGAGATAACAATGATGGAAGTGAGAGTGTTGATGAAAGGAGGATGGGAGTTGAGAAATGGGTATCATAAATGAGAGTTGTTCAGAGAGCAATTATATTGGGCATTGAAAGCACATAACACAGCAAAGCTCACTATAAAGATAATTATATTGACAATTTTCGGGTGTACATAATCAACATAAATATATGTACTCCTCTTCCATTCTGTAATGCTCTTCCAAATGTAGAAATGGTACCGAAATTTTGGAACGGTTCAAATCCTTAACGAATTGTTCGCTAGCTGTTTATCGTACTTTGTTCTCAACAAAGGCTAGCCTCCAAACGAATTCACAAGTATTCATGCACATGTTTTCTTATCGCGCATAGGGTAGGATAGGTGATCATACATTCATATTTATGCATCTCCTCTACTTTTACAACCACTTTGTATATTTAGGAAAGATGGGGACATACACCTTAGTTATGAATATATATATAAAATAAATATAATGTTTATTATGTGGCCAGGTAATGCATTAAGAGTGTTGCATTTTTTCACTGGTAATATTATTTTCTTGAATTTTTGTTGTGCTTTGAAATTGTTTTATCTGGTGTTTGTGGCGTAAACTTCTATGGAAATGGAAGTGTGACGCCATTTATATAGCAAGTTGACGATGTAATTAATTAGTAGTGTATACGTCCTTGTCACGGTGGCAGTAAGCCGCGGCAAGTGTTGCTGGTAATCGTGATACGCTGAATTTTCTTTACTTTACCCATTGATGCTGTGGATGCCATCAATCATCGTCCACGATCTATCTTGCATCTGCATCGATTTTTGCTTAACCGTCTAGACACACATTACAAAATCTATAATAGCGAAATCAAGCATTGATGGTCGTCCAATTAATCCCTATTGAACCAAAGCTAATAACATTTAACATACAATTAGGTTCTAAGTCATTATGCGTGTGTAAGCTTCTATATGTAATGACCTTTGAATTTGAACAACGACTATACGATAATTGATTTGGTCATAACAAAGCCTACTAATACAGTAGAAAATGAAGTTCTCGCGTGAGGTCGTGTGAATAGTGGTCAGGCTAGTTTAGCTACTTTAATTCATTAGTAATGAATGTTACTTGCACAATGGATGGTTAGTGGTAATCGAAAGTTACTCGGCATAGTAAATCTCGTGAAGGAACGAGAGCACATAGTTATTCCATGTAACCATCGCCATGTACATATTAGTTTTATCCCTAGCGAATGGGGCAGTGATTTAAGTTGATTAGTAATTAACCATTACTTGGAAAGTCAGTGACCAACCCCTGAGGTTGAAATAACTAAAATATTTTTTGTTGTTGCTAGAGGTGAAAGTTTGATATCAGTATTTGGGATACACCAATTACCACACTTAATTTATCATTATTTGGTATAATCGATTAGAGAGTTATTTTTTGGATTTGTAATCGAGTTTGATTTTTTAGTTTTATTCGAGATATGAGATATACGTTTGAAACTAATATATACCAAGATATCGAGCAATTCCAAATATTTAAACATCATACAGTGAATATTCCCTAAACACAGTGACCCTCACCCCCTCTCAAATAAATAAATGCCATGGTTCATCCTTAACTAAAATTTATAATTATCTATGTGATTGTAAGAAATGACCAATTTTTATTGACTTTTGTTTATGCTCGTGATGAAATATCTTAAAAGAATGAAATGTTTAGTTGTATTGATTTATGGTTATAGTGAAATTAAATTGAAATTTAGAGAATTATGAGCAATTTAATAATATTGAAGTATCATTTTATTTCATTGTACATAATACTTCACTATTTATATATGCAGATAGAAAGTTTCTAATATTTAATGTACAATCCGAACCATCTTATTATTGTTTGTAGTATGATGTTCAAACCAACAAGCTATAACTTATAGGTTTATCTAAACTGAAACCCTCAAATCACAAAAAAAAAAAAAAACCCAGCCCCTCCAATTTTGATAAGGAGATCTGCCAAAATATGTACTTATCCTTCCTTCATAGTTTGAAATGAATATCTTCTGAAATTATGAGTATTGAGGATATTGTAAAGTTGAATTTGTTTCTATGGTTGAAAATATATATTATAGGTTCACTATCTAATACAATTCTTTGTTAACTTATCTTGTTTGTATAGTAATTTAGTTTATTCTATTATTTGGGTTTATGAGTGTTCGCAGGGGGATTGTGGCTTAAAGACTTGAACAATTAGCTGGATTCTAGTGAGTAGTCGAGGCTTGAAGACTTAGACAATTAGCTACATTACGAGGAAGTTTAATCTTCATTTTTTATTTAGTTATTATTAGACTTAATTAGACCATGTTTATTACTTGAATAATTTTGTGATTGTGATCACTAGTAGTAATATTGTAAACTAAATGATGCACATGAGTTGTGGCGTTTAAATGTTATTTAGTTTGAAAATTTTCTTTTATTATTATAAGTTGAAAATAATTTGAGTTATATAACCTTTTGGAATAAATTACCATTTAGTGGGTGAGTCAAATCTGCATAAAATGATGAAACCACTCACTACTACAGTAACTGGCCCGCCACTGACCAGGATTAGTTGGGCATTCCAGAAACCCTACAACATTCAATGTTAATTAGAGGAATATTTTGTTAGTACTCACATGCATGCATAGACGATATGAGTGTAATCACTAGCATATAATTTACCATATCACAAAATGGTTACAACTAAAACTTGTTAGAAAATTAAAGAAACGACAAGGACTGAAAATATTCAAATCAACGAATGTATTTCTAGGCTCAAGGAGTGTAGTGAGAGGGTGGAAAATATCTTAAATTATTGCAACTTCAGACAGCATTAAGTCCTATATATGTATATGCAGTGAAGAGTGTTCTTGAATGATACGTGAAATGGGTACTGGCGCTATGTGATTAATTGGAAAAGTACTAGGGGCTTTGAAGATGAAGTAGTATAGCGATAAGGGTTATGTTCATATATAGAATAGGGGAGGCAGCAATGATGGATCAACAATCATGTACATGGCGAAACTCGAACTAAGGGATGTCCTATTAAAAAAAAATTAACATTTTAAAGAATTATTATTAAATATGAAAATATTGACTAGTACAAGTTATAACAAAAACTCACTATGTGTTTTCATATTCTGCTAAAATTGTAAAATACACTTACTGTTTATATATAGTATTCAACAAATCTCTTTCAATATATCATATTAGACAATCATTCATAAATCGATCACCTATTTGATGTGAAACTTGTTCTTCTTGTGTTAGAATGGTTGGAAAGATGTAGCCCATAGCCAGATTGGGGTTAATTGGTAGTTTTGGAAAAATGTAAGGATCTATGGGGTAGCTGTGTTATAATTGTATTTATGTTCTGAATACATCAATAATGTTAGTAAATGATATATGATCAACGATTGAACCTCTCGCACAACAACTCGAGTTATTGGGATCAACTGGTTCTTGACATAGTATCAGAGCCTTCTGTGACCGAGAGGTCTTCTATTCGATACCTGATGACCCACATCTATTCTGGTAAGCGCATAGTGTTCGGACCTGAACAAACTTCAAGCCCTTTTGAATTGGCTTTCGTTTGAAGAGTGTGTGTTAGTAAATTGTTTATATGGTCCACGATTGAACCTCTTCCAAAAACTCAAAGTTATTGGAATCAACTGTGTGTCCTGACAAATGAATGAGTTGCAGTATAAGTGAGATTAGGTTTATTAATAATAACAGGTCACAGTCCACCAGTTCAAATCAAATATACTATCCCAAATTTTTTTTTTTTTCGTTTTTCCTCATCATACTCAAACTTCTGCCGAGCATTTTCGCAAAATGTTCCGCCTCTACCATGAATGCACTAGCTGGAATTAAGTTTAGTCTAACTTTAGATATCATATATGCATGCATGTGGGAATAAGAATTAGAAAGGGAAAACAAATTGAAGGGGCAGTTGGAAGAGTAATAAATGGCGCCTGTGCCTGCCTGGCTGGTGATGTGCTTTCTCTCTCTCTCTGATGAGAGTCTTAATTAGCTAGCTAGCTAGTAGTTTGGTTGGAGATGATGAGGAAAAGAGAGAAGAAACATCAAAGGAAAAGGAAAGGTGTCAAAGACTTGCATGTGCTTCGAGTTGGCGCTGGTTGCGACTGAATAACTTTTAATGACCAGAAAAACACACACACGATCAATATATAGCAGCTCTAGGCACTTAGATTCTTTGAGATGGGTTTTTACATAATGACGTAACTACAAAGTCAAAAGATGGCACCGAAAGGAAATTGTATCTGTTTTGTTTTCCTCATCTGCATTCATTCACTTCCATCTCCTTAGTTGGCGGGAAGATGGAGGAAACTCTACCAGAAAGGTCAGAGGAATAGTTGAGTTTGTGGATGGAAGAGAGACCAATTTGAATATCTGGTTCGCTGTCTTTCCAGCTCCAAATGGCAGCCTCCCGATGTTTATTTGTCGGTCGAATGATATCCCTGCAACTACACTTGAAAATATAGTTTTTTAAAATAAAGTAAATAAGAAAACAAAGATAAGGTTCCCTGTTTATCTTTTTTTTCTTCGTTTTTTTG